GCCCAGGCTCCCCAGGGCAGTGGGCACAGCCCCAAGGCTGCCAGAGCTGCAGGAGGGTTTGGCTGATCCTCTGGGGCACAGGGGGTGACTCTTGGGGTTAGATATGAGGATATCTAACTGTGCAGGGCTCCAGGATCCTTGGGGGTCCCTTCCAGCCCAGCAGATCCTGTGACTCCGTGACACCCCAGCCGTGGGGGCACTGAGCAGGAGGTGCTGAACCCCTGCCCCTCTCCCTGCAGCCTCCGCTCCTCGGACCACCCTCAGGTGAACAAGCTGATGCTGACGGAGGAGGGCGGGTCTGGGCCGGGCCCGGGGGAGGCGGCAGAGCCGGGGCCGCACCGCGCCTACGACAACGAGCAGGACGGCGTCTCCTACAACTACACCTTCTTCCACCTCTGCCTCCTCCTCGCCTCCCTTTACATCATGATGACCCTCACCAACTGGTACAGGTGGGCAGAGCTCCCAGGGCCGTCTCCCTGCCTTTATATCCCGTCCTCCTGCGGTTTGCCCTGCTCTCGGGCAGAGCTGTTTGCTGAGGTGCATCTGCGTGTGAGGCTGCTGAAGGTGCTCCCTAATCATGTTTGGGTAGCATAGGGTTGTGCCAGGGCTCGCCAGCACCCTCTGCTGCAGCCTGGGATCCCTCAGGAGCGGGGACCCGGCCCCTGGGTGCTGTGAGTGCAGCAGGGGGGTCACATCCCCGGGGGAGCTGCAGCCACGGGGCTCCTCTGTGTTCCTTGCATGGCACCCATGGGTGCTCACAGTTCCTGTCCCTCTCTGTGGATACCACAGTGATGGTGCCACCCCCCTGTTTACTGTTCCAGGCCAGACGAGAGCCTGCAGGTGCTGAGCAGCCCCTGGACGGCCGTGTGGGTGAAGATCTGCTCCAGCTGGGCTGGGCTCCTGCTCTACCTCTGGACTTTGGTGGCTCCACTGGTGCTGCCGGACCGGGACTTCAGCTGAGGTGGCCCCGGGCATCCTGTTGCCAGTCAGGACTGTGGTGGCCTTGTCCCTCAGGGCCAGGGACAGCCCCAGCTCTGCCTTAGCCCCAGTTCTGCATGTGGGAGCTGCTGTGCTGGGTTGTGCCTTCTTGCAGGTCTTTTGTTTTAATTTGAAAGGGATGAAGTGCCAAGCAGAGAAATCAAGGGCTGAGAGAGACCTGAGGGTGTTTTTGAAGCTCCCTTCATGCCCATGTTTGTCCAGTGCCTTTGGTGGTGCCTCCAAACCCTCTTCTCCCAGCAGAGACCAGTGCCTTGCCTCTTGAGGGTTTGGTTCTCACCAGCTGCTGTTGTCTCACTTGCTGTCCTGGGCCCATGGTGCCTTTTGGGGGTGCTGGGGACCAGGACCCAGGACCTGGCCACTGTTATGTCCCCAGACTGCCTAGAGGAAAACGGAATTGCTGAGATTTGTGGCTGGAGGCAGACATCCCTCTGCATCCCCCAGCCTCGGGGGTGGCCCCAGCTCCTCAGGGGCTCTCCTGCCTGGCTGTCCCCATGGGAGAACAACCCCCCCCTGGTCCTTGCTAGAGGGCAAGTTGGGGTTCCTGCAGGCTGTGCTGGCCTGGCCCCAGCACCTCACCTTGTCAACAAAGTCTTGTTTGCAATAAACCTGGTGGATTTGTCCTTGGATCTTCCTTGGAGCGTGTGCTGAGTGTGTGGGAGGCAGAGGAAGTACTAAACAGCCCTAATGCTGGGGTGGGGGCACAGCTGGGGGCACAACTGGCTGCCAGGAGGTGCAGGTGGGGATGGCATCACTTTGGGGCATGAACACTTGGAGCCCTGGACCCCACTGTCAGGCTGTGGCACCCCAAGAGCTGCTGCTGGAGGTGGGCCTGTGGCTGGCAGGGCAGGGGGTGGTGGTGAGCAAAGAGGGGAGTGCAAGGTGTGGTGCAGAGGGTGGGTTACACACAGCGTGGGGTGCAGAGCATGCCCAGGGGCACAGGGGTTCTTACTGTAGCAGGGGTTCCCTGCACTGGGATGCCATCCTGGTGCTCTGCAGCACATCCCC